ATTTTCCCCACAAACGACATGCATGAAGCCTTAATCACAGGGTTTAACCCAGTACTAACTGGGTTTTCTTGGAGACTTCAGAATAGATTCATTAACTAACATCACATGTACCTTTCCAAGATCACTCTGTGCTGTGATTTGAAAGTCCCCCTCAAAAACTCCTGTTGAAATTTAGTTGGCAGTGAAATAATATGGAGAGGCAGGGCCTTTAAAAGGTAATAAGGATTAGATAAGACCATCAGAGTGGGGTCCCCATGATGAGACTGGTGGCTTTATAAGAAGAGGAAAAGAGACCTGAGCTGACATGCTCTTGCTCTCTTGCCATGTGATGCCCTTTGCATGTCATGATGAAGCAAGAAGGCCCTCACCGGATGCTGGCACCATGCTCTTGGACTTCCCAGCCTCCCTTCCTTTCCTTTATAAATTACTCACACTCAGGTATTCAGTTATAGCAACAGAAAATGGACTAAGACACTCTGTCCCAGTCATCTGTTTTCCTGAGATGAAATCACCCTATACTGGGCCCAGAGGCTGTGAAGAACCTAAATACCATCAGGGAGTAATGTTGCATGAGCAACTTTTGGCTTTAAAAATTTTTGTTCTTTGTCCAAACTTCTCCACAATAATGTCTAAATCAAATGGTGAAAAGAAAGCTAGAAAAAATCCAGGTACCCTTAAGACATTGTAAGACTGTTATTTAGTAAAATTTTCCCACATTGAATTTAATAAGAAAGTTGTGGAGGGGATTGCGATAAAGGTATCTAAATATCTGTTCAATTAATGAAAATTTATTTGGCATTTGTTTATGTTCCGGCACTGTGCTATTCCCATTTTACACACACACACAGAAAACACACACACACACACACACACACACACACACACGTATCACACTCATCACACACACGTATCAAACTCATACCCCGGGCGGGAAGTATTAAGAAGGCATGATCTCCTTCCTTTCAACAGATGGCCAACGGCTTGAGAGAGGTTGCATCCACAGGCACAGACTTCACCTTCAGCACCAAGGCCAGCGCACCTGGACTCCCAGAATCTTCCTCACTCGAGAACTCTCACGCCCGGAATTGCAATAAAGAAATGTTCTTTCTCAATGAAACGCGCCTTCCTAACTCATGAATTGCGCTTTTATAATTGCTTTTCATTAAATAGTCATTGGTACCAGCAGGAAAACTGTTTGAGGAGAGTTGAAAATGTTCAATTTATTGGAGACTTCCGCCTTGCGCGCGCGCACACACACACACACACATACACACACACACACGCTGCCAGATGGCCTGTATGTCGGTTGAGTTCTGCTCTCGTCACCCCTCAGAGACCCAGACCCCTTTGCACCAGAAAACAGTTAGGAAGAGCATTCCTCACCTGTCCCAACAAGGAGTGATTCCTGTGCAAGGACTTAAGGGGGTGGGGTAGGGGGAGGACGGCAAGTGCCCAGGACTCTGGTTTTCTGAAGTTTGTCCTTCCAAAGAGCTTTTTATCCGTACGGTTTGTGTATAGCTCTTGACTTTCAGGCTAACAGACAATAACGATCTACCAAAGAGATTGACGTTCTCAACTAAACTAATAAAAATCCCGTGAGGAAGACAGATCGTACATTGGTTCCCATTTCGTGGACGAGGAAACTGAACCCGAAGAGGTTAAGTTATTGCCCAAGATCACAGAGTCACTGCCAAAGGCGAACCCAAAAGCCGGATTTCCAGGCTTCTTTTCTGCTGGTGTTTCCTCAGCCAGATGCATACATATTTGCCAACTGTTTCCAGGGTCCGCAATTCTGCACCCCTCCCTCCGGCCCAATTATCTGAGAACCGAAAGAGTAGAAAATCTAAAATGAGATGGAGGGACGCGAGGCTGTGGATTGCTGCCGCTTCCTTGCTTCTTTTTTTTTAGGAGCCAAAATGGACTCTGCTCTTACTCGGTGACAGCCCCTCGCCCGCGGCGTGGCTCCTGGCCTCGGCGGGGGTCCGCGCAATCCAGGGGCCTCCAGCTGCCCCTTCTCCTCCGAGGGTCGCCAGA